ATATAATTAATTTTATAGCAGGAAAGGTATTTAACCATATAACTAGTCTTTTAATTCTCAAAACAATTACTGTTCTCAAAAAACAATTTAGTTCTGGTGGCACTATAGTATCACAAAAAACAGATTTATGGTGTGAAGTGTGGTCTTATATACCTATGTGTTACTGCATATGTTTCCAAGATAGCATGGAGCTACATAGTAAGAACTGTGATCAAACTTGAATTGAGCTATCCTGGTGAAAAATCAAAGCTCACTGCTGTGTCCACAGCACACTGCACCATGAGCTGTTGGCCTCCTTCTGACCTGCTAGCACATTAAACCATCCTTCTAGCCCACACAAGAGTAAAACTGACTAAGCTGAACACTCTTACTGTTATCTCTGCTGCTTTAAAACAAGTGTAGACACCAACTGGTCACTGACCAGACTTACCAGGAAACAAGCATCTCAGCTTAATGTTTATGCTCTTTACCTTGCACTGGCAGAGGGTGCACTCTGTGCCATGCTTAATCCAAGAAGATCCAGTGAAGCGAACAACATTGGTTTCATCCAGACAGGTTTTAGTGATGTCATTGCGAATGGTGTCCGCTTGGCAGGGGTCAGTGACACAGTGCGGGCAGCACTCGTTCTCAGGGAGAACACTGAATTCACAATCCACCTCTGGGCATGGCAAGGGCCAGCAGTCAACTTCGCCTTGCTGTTTAAAAGTATTATAAGAACAAGAGAAGATTATTAGCTCTTATTCTGTTCATCATCCAGTCATCTGAATCAGCATTATTTTTCTTAGCTGGCTAATTTTGCCCATCTGGTCCTACTCAGAAGTCAGTGAAGAGAACACTGATATTCACTATGACAGACACAGCAAGTTGGGTGCATTTTTCTGCATTCTGTTTAGGAAGTATATTAAATTTAACTTCCTTCAATACACATCAAACTGCAGCTGGCAATTCTCCACAAATGTCATGCAATGCAGAATACGGACCTGTCCTTGTGAAGTCCTACTTCTGCAAGTGACAGAAGCCTTAAGAGGACTGCACTGCAAAAGAGCTTCCAAATTTCAGGTTTCACCTAGTTGTTACTTCTATTCTGACTCTTTGCCACAGAAAGCCTTCAAATTGAGCTGTGGATGGGCTAGCGTTTATCTTTCTTGGTTACAAATGCATTGGCTGGAATAAGTATGTCGAGCTGCCAGCAGCCCAGTGTAACAGGGAACACCAGTGCGTTTCCACTGAGAAGACCTCCACCAACTTACCATCCATTTAGGATGTTACCATCAGAATACCTGAACTTCCAAACTTAATCATACTTCCTGCATGATGGATTTAGTACAGCCAGGATACAGAAAGGTCAAAGCAGAGACTTGTGTTGGGCCAGAATATTCTTAGGGGAAGTTACTGTATGCCTGTACATAAATCTATAGATGTCTAATTGTTCACATGAGTTACTAGAAGCTGGGGTCAGCTTCTCTTCAATTCTGGACAAAGGCCAAATTTTCAGACCTATTGGTCAAAGAAAAAACTTCACAGAAGTCAGTAATGCATACTTCTTCTGGAACAGGTCCATATCTGACCTTCAATTTATTCAGCCCATTTGAGCACAGACTGAGCTGTCTGTATCGAAGTGGGGCGGAAAGAATTTGTGCCTTGGAAAGAAGTTTATTGAGAAAAACTGTATCTAAGGTTTTAAGAATAAGGAATTCAGTATCTCCAGAGCAAAAGCTAAAAAAAATTCCCAGGGATTTGCGATAACTCTGGATTTACTCCTCTTTTTGTAGAAAGTATTGTCAAGTTACTTTTACAAAATTCTTATCTTATTCTTTTCCTTTTTTTGAACCACATGATAGTTAGAATGAAAGCAATCTTTAAAACCAGTCATTCATCTTGATATTTCAATTTATGTTTGCAGTGATGGACAGTACAAGTAGTAGACAATACACTGTCACCCAAAAAAATCCCTGACAACTGAAAGAAAGCAGGCTTTAGTTACAGAAGTAACATTTTGCAAAAAAACAAAACAAAACAAAACAAAAAACCACCTACTTTAGGTTGGTTTGGTTTTAAGACATTTAATGAAGCACTTGGGAATCTATTTCATTGGATTTTAGCAGTGGTAACACTGAAAGCAAAGTGTCCACAGAAATTGGCTTCTGGCTGTTATTCATGATATCCTGACAAGGCAAAGCTGTGAGATGGTCTAGGATTTACATTTGGAGATGACCTGTGATAAAAGCTGGTTATTTTTATCTTGGGATTTTTTCTGTCATAGAAACTTCCTGAGTGGCGTTATGCAGAGCAGTTTTTGCTTAGACTCTGAAATACATGCCTAGGAAAAAGATTACAAGCTTTAACAGATTTTGTTTTTTTCAAACCTCATTTCACTGTTTTGAAAAAGGCATCAAGTCGTATTATTTTTTCTGTTACTAAAAATGTGTGAATGAATAAACAAATTTTAGTCTATCAGCATCTTTGAAATTATCGACTGTGATAACAAATACACATTTAGAATTTCCTTACTCAGCTTCATTGGTCTTTGAATGAGTGAACACGAGTGCTGCTGTGTAGGTGCCATATCCAAATGACCTCCACTCTTTGCTAAAACAATCTTCATGATTGAATAATTTATATTACGCCTATTGTGTCAAAATGCATTTTTGACTGGAAATTCATAATACTGACAAAAATCCATGAAAACCAGGTTTTGATTATACACATACTCCAGGGGAAATTAAATGGATGCTAATGCATGAAAATTAACTATTCACAGATCAGAATATCTCATATCCTTTTTCCCTCATGTCTCTGCTCTGTAATCAAGGAGCCTTACCAAACAGCGACACTGCTGACAGTTCTGTATCCAGGATTCACCGCTGCCATAGGAAAGCTCCCCGCTCTGATGTAAACATTGACTGCTGAGCCTTGGGTCACATTCAGGGCAGCAAAAGAGATCAACAGTGGGATTTTCACAGTCACAGACCATTCGCCGGCACATCACATATCCACTCTGGTGTTGGAAGACAGACATAGAGCTATAGCAGAAATTCATACAACTCCAGCAGTGCTTGTACCAAAATCTGATTTTCTGGCTTGACTCTAAGCCACTAGCAGCTCACAAGTTTTTCCACTATACCATTTCTTTGTCAAAACACAATTCAAACAGAAGCAGAAAACACAATGCACACTCAGTAAATGCCATAAAGTTTCCCTGTTGTCTTGGATACATCCTTCATACAACCAATCTTCAGGCACCTCTCCCCTAAGGTGATGAAACCCAAGGGTGTCATTCCAAGGGTCAAATTTTAATGGATTGCACTAAGTTTATGTCATTCTCATATGGATGCTAGTAAAGTCTTGCTTTAAACTTCCAGATCAATCCCTCTCTTCTGTAATTATTCACGCAAGAAAGATGATACGTAATCTGAAATTAAATTAATGCTCATGAAACCTGAGCTGCTGAAATGCTCAGGACTTTGTCAGCAGTGTATCGGGCATTTATTCTCCGTCAGCATTTAACTTGTGATCAAGCCTCCCACAGCAAACATTTGAGAAAGTTAAGCTGAATTACTCTGCAGATACAGAACTTACTTCTATTTATAGACATCTGCTGAAGATACTGGCATCAGTCACCAACTCCAATATATGTCTAGACAGACAGTTTCTTTGCATGAAAATGCTGTTACTCCCACCCAGAAAACACAGGTGGCATCTCTGCTAACAAAATAGTACTATCGTCCTTCTCCCAGTATCATATAATAAACATCATGTGGAAGTTCTGCTCATGCAGGTTGGAAAGAGAAGCTCTCCCCAAAATCCTATCAAATATATAATTTCATTTTTCTGTAGCACCAGACGCACACTTGACAAGGCAGCTAAAACAGGAATTTCACTTGAATCACAATGCTCTTCCCTTCATCCCTAGTACAATCTAGCAAGAAGCAGCTCCTTCTATTTCTACTGACCTGGCACGAGCAGACAGAGCACCTGTCATTCTCCAGCACCCAAATCTGACCGTTGTGCTTGATTTTGTTTTCATGGATACAGTCTCCTGTGCAGTTCTTGCCATGGGGACATCGACAGTCGTACCCACCATCCAAGTTAAAGCAAACAGTGTCATTGGCACAGCTATGCCTTCCAGTTCCACATTCATCAATGTCTGCAAAAACATGCCATGTAATGCTCTTAGACCACATTCAATTAACAAAAATGTTCTTGCGGCACTCAATATAAATGATTCTTGGCCATTAAGTCGTCAGCTGAAAATTAATTTGCACTTCACCAGAACAGGGAGAAATAACTTACAAGTTCACAAAAAATATTTTTCAAGTCACATCAACTTGTAAAGGATGATACTTTGAGTTTTCCTGTACTTCTTTTTAAGTGAAGATATTAGGTAAGGTAGTTAGAATGAAGAAATCATAGGCAACATAAGAACAAAAAAAATCCTCAGCTCCCTAAACAGCAACTATTCATGAGACACATTCAGTGTAACAAGAAAAGCTGAAGAATCTTCTTTTCAAACCATTTTGCTGGCTTTCTCTGGTACCTTTCAGTTCACTTGCTGAGAAGTTAATGTGAAAGGTGATGTCTGACCTGTAAGCTCATTTAAACTAGCACACCATGCTTTAAGTTACATCACTTATTAGGGTGTGCAAACTAGAATATTTCAATTATTCGAGTTGCAGTGACATCTATAGCCTTTGTGTCTAGCATAGAAAATAAAATAAATTAAAAAAAGAATGTCTCCAGTGAATAAAGGTAAATGACTTCAAACCAATCATTTCTCAAAGAATTCAAGAGTACCTTTAAAGGCCTAATTCACCAAGGTATACAAAATTATTTTGCAAGGGCAAACTAGCAGCAAACACTGCCTTCTACTTGAATAGTCTTTATTTAGTGTTTTCAGCTGTCCATATGGAGAAAAGTCATCTGGGAAAAAAGCTTTGAAAGGGCATGAAGTAAATAGCTATATGTGATAAAACATGGAAAATACTAGAAAATACTAGATCTACAGTGATTGTAAATATTGATACACTGAGTTCAACTCGAAATACAATTTCACAACAGTCTGGCCCAAGCTCTTAATTAGAGTTCATTAAAAATAAGCACTACGATATTTAAATGTCCAACAGATCAGCACAAGACAAAATAAGCAATATGGTCTTGCATGTATCTTTCACCATAAAAATATAATGAAACACAGCTTTGGGTTCAATAAAGGAAATGAAACCTCTGATTCACCTCAAGCACATTCAGTTTAAAGCAAAACAACTCAATTATCATTTGAATTTCAAGTGTGGCTGCAGTTAAAAAAAAAAAAGTAAACAAGTTGTTAACATGAATATGAATTGGGATGAAAAACAGCAGGGAAATTATTAGAATTCCAGGGCATAAATAAGCAGCATTGTAGGTTTCCTTCAAATACTATGTGCAGTAACAGTGGCACCATCTCAAAAAAAACCATATTGCAAAATTACTAGGGCTTATGGGAAGGATGAGGAAAATGTCATTTGAGAAGAACTGAAAAGAAATGAATTGTTCATCTCTAAAAGAACATTAGCAAGAAGGGATATAACCAAAAAAATAATGAATACTCCAGAGGAGACATGTTGAGAGCTTATGTTCTCCACATTGCCAAATAGAGAAGACAGGGGACAGTGAATGAAACTGAAAGACAACAAATTTAAGCCTGATAAAAAGAAATAACTTTTCATACAATGCATAAACAAACTATGACACTCACTGCCACAGAATGTTAAGATGGGAAAAACAATTGCGTAGCCAAGACCATACAAAGCTAGCAACAATATTCAATTTGCAATGCTAACAGATTTTGTAAGAGATTACATTTCATGCATTAGGGTCTACGGTGTCTTTATTTACATACGAGATAACCCAGAACAGGCAAATCATCTCAGATCCCCACATCTTCTACCTCGTTAAATTCTGAAGCATTTGGAGTCAGCCACTGTTGCAACAGGGCAGAAGATAACCGGGATCATGAACCTAATTCAGTGTGGCTGTTCACATGGACCTGAACAGCTGAAATGTCACGGGCACATCAGGCAGGGAAACCCACCCAAATTGTAAGGATATCTAATTAGTGGAACAGACAGCCCTGTGAAGGCTGTCTAATCTCCAGCCTTAAAGGCTTTTAGACAAGAAGCTAACAGGAATGGTTTGAGTGATGCTGGTCTGGGGAGAGCAGAGGGATGGACAAGCTTCTCTCTCCTTCATTTTCTCTTAAATCCATACTGAAAACAATACAATCTAGCAATTTAAAACTAATATCTCCATACACTCAGTCTTATTGAGTTTAAGTTATGTAATATAGAGAAAAAACACAAATCCTATTTAAATATAATGATTCAAATTAACAGCAGGATTCTTGGCTATCACTGTAGTAATTTTTAATAAATTACTTCCCAACACTTGCATTCATTTGTTTAAAACACTCTTTTCTAAGAAGTTTTCACACAGCCTGTGTCATAAAGGAGTAATAAATCACCTCTCAACAATCTGGCCATTTAACTGAAAGCAGCCATATTTAATGAGATACTTGGATGAAGTTCAGCTGTAATGTAAAAAGAAGAGTTTCCTTTAAACAACAAATGGTGACCCTATAAACACTAAGTCTGCATTTGGCACTTATATACAAGTGTATTTCACAATTTTCCCATGACAAAAAGGCTTCTGGGATTCATTTTTCAACATGGGAGCAGTTAGTGCACTGTTACTGAAAAAAATTGTTGGGTTTATCCAACATTGAGGATTTATGAAGCATCCCAACCTTGTTTTTTTCAGTTGTTTGATTCATGAAAATAAACGTTCTGGATGGGGCAATTTAAATATCCCTGGTCGAAGCAGGAGCTATTTACATTTTGAATCTAACCTAATCAGAAACAGCAGCGTGTTTATAATGCAGCAAGAGAAACACAAAAGTTGCTTGCACCAAATTCTCATCTGCATTATTCATCCACATCAAACTTCAGGCATTATCTGCAAAGAACATGCACAAAAATCATCCACACCAAGCAAAACTTTGTTCAGCTTTTTTACTTTGTATTTGTAATGGACAGTGAATTAAGTTACTCACGGTTTGTTTACAGCCATAACGAGCTCCCCAATTTCCATAACCATATGGATAGGGATATACTGGCCCCTAGATTACAGGTTGCGTATTTCCAGTATATCCAGCCACAGAAGCATGTTATTATCACTCTCATGTTGGTTTGGGGTTTTTTGTTGGTTTGGGTTTTTTTTGGGGGGGTGTTTTTTTTAGTTTTTGTTTTGTTTTTTTTTTAAAGCACAACAAAACAAACAACAAATAATTCACTTCGGGCTATTTGCAACACACTGCTTAGGAATCAAGCAGCTTGAATGTTATGACATTAGAACATTAAGTCTCAAAAGACTTGGAGGTTTGCCTCAGAAAAAACAGAAACAAAATGTAACTAGCTATCTAGTGCTAAATTAACCAGGACTTATTGATTTAACCTACACTAAAAATTACAGCAGATATCATCTGTAACATATTTTAAGGTTTTTCATTTTCTTACCATCATCCCTGGTTTCAATTGAATATCGCAATGAGTACCATGCAATGAAGTAGCAATACATGTTACAGAAAGCTAGGAGTTAACTGCATCTCAAGTAATTTCATGCCTACACAGGAACAATATTGGACACTAAAGCCATAAAAAATGGTGACAGTGCCTGGAATGACTAAACTCTATTTGTAGTATTTGAGAGACTGCAAAGGCAGAAAACTCCATAAAACTGAGAATTTCAATTGCCCCACCAGGCTGTGACCCAAGGCTGTATTTAACAGATTTACTGTTTCTTGGAACAGATAGTCAAAGAATCCCAAAAGAACAAAGCACCATTTGACTTGGCCCTGAGCAGTGTGCAGGCTCTGATTCAAAATGTCTCTACTGAGGAGCTACTCTGTGTTGGTGACCAGCAGTGACCATAGTGTATGCAAGTTTAATATCCTCAAAGAAATTTAAATGGCTGCAAAAAAGAATCTCTGTGGCAGTGCTTAGTTCCAAAGAGGGTACTATGTTAAAATGATGAAGTTTTAAAAATGAACTATAACTAGCAACCAAAAGAATAACATGTTTTCACATAGAAGATGTTTAAAAATATTACATTATAGATTCAGAGTAAACATATACTACATAAAAATATATTAAAAATACATTAAAGGGGGGATACATTTCATATACTGTAATACTTTTATTCAAAAACTTCATGAGCTCTCTTGCATAACACATGCTCTTCAAGGACCTGAGTACAATGTAATAAAAGAGGTTGTCGACTCACGGGTTAATTAGTAAGTAATAAAAGGCAGCCACAAATGGTCAGGTTGTCACAATGTGGAGTTGTCCCAGGGAAGTTCCCCAAGAATCTGTGTCAGAATGTGTGCTGCCCAATATACTTAGTGATCTGGGGGAATGGATGAACAGTGGAATGAAAAAGACTGTTGATAAGAAAGTACTAAAACAAAAAAATTGACAGTGAAATACAGAAGTATTTCATTATATTGACTGACTAAACAACATGTCAGATAAGATTCAACTGTAAAGTACATGGGGAAATACCCATTCAAAAAATCAAATCAGTATTTTAGATCTGTTCTGGGTAGAGATCTTGGAGCTACTGTGGATATCTCTAGTAAAATGACAGCTCATTTATGTTTTGGAAAAAAAACCCCACAAATACAATATTGATAACAACAGATAAGAAAACTTGTAATAACTCACAAGGAACATGAACCCCAAACCCTGTGTACACCTTGCTAGGAAGTGACAAAGAGCTCAGAGATCCATTCTGATATAGCTGATAGACAGTTGTGTTTTTCCCTCCTTTGATGAGCTATCCAGACTTACATTCAGGACACTCAAATAAAGCCCAAAAAGGTCTCCCTCAGACATTATTTTCTACCAGAATCATTCTGGTATTAGTTAGAGTGTCATCTGGATGAAGAAGAGATGAACACTTGTATCACTGAGAAATATGCTGTTGGAAGAGACAGGCTGGGAGGGTGGAATATTCCTTTGAAGCAACTGAAGTTTCCCAGTTACTTTAGCTCTGACGTATTAGCTCAGCAAAGTGACAGCATCAGGATATCTGAGTACTTTTTGCTTAAGGCAA